TTTTAGGTATCCCATAAATAATACCAACTCGTGGATTCCAACAATGGGAGCTCTTTACCTAACAAGAGACTCCAGCGAATCTATCTCTTAATGTAATGACACTATTCATAGACTCTGATTTTATTTATAAGCCACTTGCTGCATGACCCTCGAAGTAGACCTGTGGCTCGAAATAAAGAAAATGCAGCCGAATGAATGCTATAGAAACATTTGGTGTGTTTTTTAACATCAGCTGTTCAGATTGGACCAGCCACCTTTGGAGCTGACCCCTCCTTTGCCATCACTTCCGGCCCATTTCCTCTAAGATCTGAGAAGGATCCAGATCCTGTCCACCGGCAGCTTTTTCCGAGAGCATGGTCACACGCTGCTGGGCCAGGGTTTGGTTCTCTGCACTACACACACTTGATCGAGGGGCTAAGCATGACTGACTTTGTGTTTCCCTTTAGCAGACCCCCAACAGTCCCCTTCCCTGCCTGTGAGGGAGACCACAGCGTCTTCACTGAATGTCAAAGTGGAATCCTCCACTAAATCCATGAAGTGGAAATTTAGTGCTCTCATAGCTTACATATTTTTCTGAAAAGTATTTGCCAAAACGGAAATTCTTCAGACATTTTACATGGCCTCAGTAATTACATGGAGTTGCTGTGTGAATCTTCCAGGGAAAGACACGTCTTCTTTTTTTTTCCCCCCCTACTTCTCCTTTTTATGCTTTTTACTTGATATGTATAACATACCTGTCTATATATTTTATATACTGAGGGTAGCCCATTTATAAATTAAGAGTACATTTTACATGGCCTCACTAATTACACTGAATTTCTGTCTGGATCTTAATAGGGAAGAACACTTTTTTTTTCTTTTTATATTTCTTACTTTGTACATAATTACATACATGCCTATATATTTTATATACTGAAGGTAGCCCATTTATAAATTAAGAGCACATTGTATTCAGCAGATTATAATGGGGCTGGTCTTAAGTGGACCACTATGTGCATAAATATTTTGGGGAAAACAGCTGTATATGTTTTAGGGCAACGGTTATACATATTATTTACCAGGAGAAACTTTTTCTTAAAGAGCTAACATTTAAAATTTTAAATATGTGTTCTATGTCCATAGAAGAAAATATACTTTATTGTGACTTCAACTATATTTCTTATATCTTACATTTTTATTTAATTTTTTTAGCTGGATATATGCTAAAGAAAAAATACCGTGGAATACCACAGTAAATACTGTTTTTAAACACAAGTACTGGTCCACATAACATTATTTTCCTTTGAGATAATTTTTAACAATTTGGGATCCTTTAGAGGGGGTGTCAAAAAAAGGTGAAGAAAGGTTAAAAAAAAAACACTTTAAGAATAAAGCCAAAATCACTTTCCATCCAAATGTGTTATTAATTGTTGAAAGCAATTATCATTTCTATTTGGAATACAGAGGATTACCTCTGCTTACTGTTATTACAACTAAAAAAGGTTTACTATTAGAAATGGCTTCCAGTGAAACCAAGAACTTCTCAAAATATTTAGTATTACGTGTGCCTAATCTAGCTTCTCAGTGTCGATTTTTAAAATACCTTAAAATTACTGTTTACTACAAACAAGAATATACTGCCTCCTAATTATTTTCTTCAATCAGTGCTGAAAATGGAAAAATATTTATATATTGATATAAAAAGTTTTGTTCTGTTTGAAATGAATGCTAACTTGGATTTGCAGTTCGCATTGTGCTGTTTCTAAATTGTTGCATATGCTGGGTTTTATAGGTGTGCTGCCACTTTAGGGACATTAATATTATAGAAAGGTACTGTGAAATTACTACTTTGTGGCAGGGTACTTTAAAACATAATTATGTTTTTACAAAGGTAGGTTAACTTAATTGTAAATAATTGTGAAAATCACTGTTCGAATCATTTTAAGATGACATTAATTTTCTATAAATTGCAATATTTATAAATTTGTGAAATTGTACGCATTGATATTTCATGATAAATGTACTGAAAATAAATTGACCCCTCATTCTTACTTGCATTTCTCATTTGCAGACTATAACTTAGATCCAAGTTAAAGTAACAAAGACATTTAGGAAACAAGAAACTCGGCTGTTAACACTTGATCAGGCACATTCTGAAGAATTAACCAACAGCCGAGGAAGTAGTTTCTAGAATGGTGAGCAGTACCTCAATCATTGTATTAAAAACGACTACATTGTACCATTTCAGCAACCAGAAAATACCCTGGCTAGGTCAACAGCCATTAGCAATAGGGTCTCATGTGACTAACTATGACCTCCTGGTTTCATGCCATGGTTGTTTCTTTCAACCTGGGTTAGTCAGTGAAGTCAAGTACATACCATTGTTCTCTCAGTTCAGTAGCGAACACCTTAATTTTTTATTCCCAAACTAATAAAGTAAAATAAGTAATGTATCTTTGCTTCTGTAATGATATCTTGGAATTTTTCAGTGTGTTTCTTTTGAAGTGCCCAAAGCTCAGTTCTTTCATTCATGGATGTTTTATGTTGTTTGGGAATGAAGAATGATAGTTATTTAGGAGAAACCACCAAGTGAAAGATGTCACAGGACAAGAACGAATAACAGTGACCTTAGAGTAGGTAGTATTTACCTCATAGTGTCTACCAAATAGTAAATAGAAGCATAAAAATTATTTTTTACAGATTTTATGAGATATAATTGATATAGAAAACTGCATCTATTTAATGTATGCAATTTGATGAGCTTGGACATACACACACACCTATCATACTATCACTGCAATCAAGGTAATAAATATATCTATTACCTCCAAAGTTTCCTTGTGTCCCTTTGCTTTTTGTGTGTGTGTATGGAAAGAATGTTTAACACAAATGTACCCTCTTATTTTTAAGTGCACAGTGCCGTGTTGTTGACTATAGGCACTAAGTTGTAAGCTGATCTCTAGGATTTATTCATTTGGTGTAACTGTAACTGTATACCCATTGAACAGCTCAGCGTCATGTATTCTGGGTCCATCCATGTTGCTGCAGATGGTAGGATTTCTTTCTTTTTTAAGGCTGAGTCATACTCCACTGTATGCATACACCACACTTTCTGCATCCATTTAGTAAGTATCAAATCATTTCAGTCACCACCAAAACAGCCATCACAGGGAAACTGGTTAAGTACACGGTGATACAGCCACAAACAGAAAATGTGTAGCTTTAGAAAAAAATGGCGACACTGTCTCTAAACATGGAAACATCCAGGATAAGGGGAAAAGCAAGGTGCAGAGGAGTGTATGTGTTACCTTTATTTTAAAGAAAGAGAGAGCTAGGATGTTTGCCCGTGCTGGAAGGACATATATGGAGCTGATAATAGTGTTTATTGTGTTACATGCCATTGAGTCGACTCTGACTCCTGGCGACCGTATAAATGAGTGACATCCACACTGTCCTGTCCTCCACAGCCCCACCCTGTTCCTGTGAACTCATGCCTATGGCTTCTTTTATGGAATCAGTCCATCTCATATTTGGTCTTTCTCTTTTCCTGCTGCCTGTGTTTTTACTGCATTGTTGTCTTTTCCAAAGAACTCTGCCTTCTCATAACATGCCCAAAGTAGGACGGCTTCAGGTTTGTCACGTTTGCCTCCAGCAATGTTTCAGTCCTGATTTGCTCCAGGACCCACTTGCTTGCCTTTCTGGGGGCCCAAAAAATCCCGAGAACTCTCCTTCAACATCATATTTCAAATGAATCTTTTTTTTTTTCTGATCAAGCCTTCTTTATAGTCCAGCTTTAGTATCCATACATATTAATTGGGAATAAGAGACCGTGGGTGATAGCCTTGGTCTCTAATGACACGTCTTTGCTCTTGCTGATGTTCCCTAATTCTTCCCTTGCTGTCCTTCTGAGTCTCAGCCTTCTCTTGATTTTTTGGCTGCAGTCTCCATTGGAATTGATGACTGAACCAAGGGAAGCAGAATCTAACAATTTCAGTGTCTGTGTCATCTACGTCAAAGCTGTGTTTTTCTTCTGTAGTCATGATTTGTCTTCTTCATGTAGACAGCAGTGATAATCGAGCAAGTGAGGAGATACATATATATTTGAACCATCTTAATTGTTAGCAGGTATAATTCTGAACCATATTAACATTAACTATTTACAAAGCTAATTTTAAGTTCTGAGTTTAAATTCAGAGGTCAACATGAATATTCATCACAGCATTATTAATAATAGCCAGTAAGAGGCAACAACTCATGTGTCTATCAATTGATAAATGGATAAACAAGGTGGTCTATCCATACAATGGAATATTACTCAGCTATAAATATGAATAAGGTACTGATCCATGCTACGACATGGGGGAACCTTGAAAACCATGCAAAGTGAAAAAAGCCAGACACAAACAGCTACATCGTGTACGATTCCATTTATATGAAATGTCTGCAAGAGAGAAATCCATAGAGACAGGAAGTAGGTTAATGGTTGTCAGAGTTGGGGGGACGGGGAGTAACTGCTAGCAAGTACGTGGTTTCTTTTGGAGTGATGGACGGCCAGCTCTTTGACAGCATGTGAGCTTATAACCCCTGAAATGAGTCCTCTGATGGAAATCAATTTTATTTCATCCTTGGAAACAGAGGTCAATCAATTTAACTCCTTTTTCATTGCACTTCCACTGTTTTCAAGCACTTAATATTGGAAAAAGAAAAATACTTTTGTCACTCATACATAAGAAACGGGGGCAACCAAAGATCCGGCATTCTGTTCGCCTTCTCAGGTTTTCATAGTCTGTCCAATGGAATGTACTGATATTAAAAGCTATGGTGAACTTGTTTCCCCCCAAAGACTTGATAAATGAAGAGGCAGTCTTCAGAAAGCATTAACCAAAATATATGACCATAATTATCAGTAACTTGACTCTTCCCTAAGTGGACCCTCTATGCCATTTTGTAATTTTCTTAAAAGTTTAATTTCAGCTTTTCACTATCATCTTTCTCCCCAAACTCAATTTAAGCCATCAGCTTAAAAAAAAAAATAAAACACAAGTTTGCAGGTCAGCCTCATGCAGGGGCCCTGTTAATCTCTGTATTGTCCAATGTTAATATATGTGCTGCTGAAGTGAGCTCTAAACCTTCAGCTTTTGATTCATTTACCAGCATATCTTTTTCTTTACTACAAAGCTTATAGGAGGAAACAATAGGTCTGGATGCGATCCACATCTTCAATTCATTGTACATGTAATTGAAATTGCAGTAAATCCTTGCACGTTCACACTGTACATCAGCACCCAAGGGAGCTCTTTTTAAAACAAGCACCTCTGTCTATCTATTTTTTAATCAGATTGTTTGGAAGGAAATACTACTGCTTGCAGAATAATTGGAATATATAATAAGGTTAGAAAGACTAGAAAATCATCCATAGTCCTAAAATAATGCCTGTAGTTATTTTGATTCCCCCCCCTTAAGCTTTTAGGGAGTATTTTTGTACAGATTGTGAACTTTCATAAGCTTTACATTAAATTTTTAACATGCACAACAAGATGAGGTGTCATGTATATGGACACATACAGGTGGACTAGCCGTGCACAACTTCCATCGGGCTGATAGATATCACGTTAAGGGTGTTGGTTATCTCTGGGAGGGAGACTATGGGAACAGGGAAAGGAGCTTCAGGGGAACCTGAAAAGTCACGATTCTTGAAAAATAACTAAAGCAAACGTAGTAAAATCTTAATATTAGGCTGAGTGGTGATACACATATATTTACTACATTCTCTACTTTTCTGTATGCTTGAAATATTTCATAACAAAAAGATGAGGTGCATTGCCAGCCTAATTGTGTCTAAATTCATCACTCACTGTCCATTAGCTGGTTTTGATTATCCTGATAGCTCTCCCAATTAAAAGGGTTGAAATCTTAATGATCTTCTGGCACAATTTAAATCTTTCATCGGCTTGCTAAAGCACAGGTGCAATAGGATCTAGCAACTAGCTTGAAAAGCTCTTTTCTTGTTAGAAACAAATTTAACCGTAGGTGGCGCTGTTTTCCACACTCGGGCTTCTCTGTCTTCCCATTAGGGTGTACTGTGGAGGTTGCTAGGGTACAGGTTTTCTGGGAATCATAATGAAATGCAAGTATTGTAGGGACTATAAGAGATGTCCAGCATGCTTTCATGCTAGGATCTTAAAAATCAAAGGCTGAAGTGAACCCATCAATCCACTTACACCTTCCTACAGCTTTGATTTTCCTGAGACTTTTCAGCTCATGATAAAAGATTTATAGATAATTTTCTTCATAATCTATAATTGAACAATTTAGAAACCAGAACATCTCTGCTAATTACATCTTTATTTTAACTTTTGGGAGATAACATAGCAAAATCAACCAACCAATTCCAAGGCCCACATTATTTTTCCAAAACAAACCATGTAATTTTCATTATTCCTTACTTTCCTGTTTTTGCCTTTCATCCTTTTGGTACTAGAGAATTATAAAGAAATAATCTCTTTATAACAACCCACAAACATGATCAAATCAAGACAAAATTGTGTTAATTATACCTTACGTTGGTACCATCATTATTGTCTGGATGCTGAGCAAATCTTTTAAAATTCTATCATCATCATTAGCTTTTTCCATATTAAGCTTTATGAAGTTATTAAGAAAATATTCTTTATTACTACAGTCCATCAGCATTTTAATCATATGTTCTAAGCATCATAAGCACTTTAGCATCCAAATATAATAATAAAACTTAACTAATTTGAAAAATGGTGAATAATCTAACTTACAGAATATTTTATGGTGAAAACATTTTCCACATCCAAGTTGAATTAGGCAATGGGTATACTTTAAAAAAACAATCACAATAGATTTATTTCAATGTTAGTAAGCTACAAATAGGATTAAATTTCTTTAACCATAAAACCATTACGGAGGCAAAACTTTTAACACCCTAATTTCTTAGGTATCTTTTGGGTGAAGTATGTTTTTTAAGTGGAATTCTTTCTATAGAAAGTAAAACATTATTAATTGAAGTGGTTTTTTTTTATGTTTAGAGAAAGTGGAAGGGAGGGAGAAAGGAAGAGAAACATCCTGGATCAGTTGTCTCTCATATATGCCCTGATCTGGGACCAAACCCACAACTCCAGGCATGTGCCCTGACCAAGAATCAAACCAGTAACCTTTTGCTTTGCGGGAGGACACCCAACCCACTGAGCCACACTGGTCAGAGCTAAAGCAAGCCATTTAAAAAAAAAAGAGATTTCTAAAAATCATTACCTACTTTGGAACTCAGTCATCCAAATTAATTTTTAAGCAATCATATTTTGTTTTGCAATGTACTATTACTGAGAAATTTAACTGTAGATGTATAGACGCTAAAAATACACAGGGAAGAAGCCACAGTGAAACATTGCCTTGCTTCCGAAACTCTTTTTGGAGCTCTGCTGTAGAAAGATGTTAAAAAAAGATTTGTATCCAAAACGGTGAGTGGGATGTTAACTTGCCATAACGTGAATGGCCTTAGAGTTTCACTATTCCTTTCTCTGCCTTCAGGTTCCTAGGTTAAGGAATAATGAGTTTTGTTTCTAAAATTGCTCTTAGCAGAGCTAATTTTAGTCCCCTTGGGGAAGAGATTGGAGAAAGGAAAGGAGAGTTTTCCTTGCATGCTTTAGTGGTCAATCGATGTTAGTACTGTGTATTCAAATGAACTTGGCCGTTCTAACCAAGTACACTTAAAGATTTTCTGAAATCAAAAGGAAAAAAAGAGAGAATCCAATTCTGCCATCAAATATTTGGTGACTAAAGTAAAATATACTTAGATTGTTACCTTTATGTAAAATATCTTCTCCAAATAAGGAATAACAAAAATTGAGTTACTGATGTTTTTAGCATTGAAATTTCAGTTTGGGGGTTATTATAGTTTTTGATAAATAGTGAGTTTTGGTTATTGGTTACTGTATTTTTCAGACTATAAGATGCATCCCCCCCCCAAATTTGGGAGGAATAATGGTTGTTAATGCTGCTGTTGAGTTCTGTTTACATTTACATTGGCGAAATATTATGTTGTTTATGTTATTAAATATTTTAACACATTGTTTGCCTCAAAATTTTTTTTCCTGTCTTCCTCCTCTAACATGTAGGTCAGTCTTATGGTCCAAAAAATACGGTATCTATTGTTGCAAGGAGACTACCCCTGAACTTCGAGGTTTGAAACCATAGCCGTTTGACTGGTCACAGTTCTGTGGGCCTGAGCTCAGTGGGGGCAGTTTTTCTGTTGGTCTCGTTTGGATCCCTCCTGGGCCTGCAGTCAGATGTCAAGTTGGCTGGGGGCTGGCCAGCTACAGTTGACCTCACTAGCACATCTGGTAGTTAGCCCAGGCTGTTGGCCAGGGCACCTGAGTTGTTTTCCATGTCGCCTACCCAGCAAGGTAACTCAGACTCTTTCCGCCTGGTTGCAAGTGAAAGTTGTAAGGCCTGTTTGTTTTTTTTAATTGATTGATTTGAGAGAGAAAGGAAGAGAGAAAGGAAAAAAGTGATTTGTTGTTCCACTTATTGATGCATTCATTGGTTGATTCTCACATTTGCCCTGACTGAGGATTGAACCCACAACCTTGTTTTACTGGGACAACGCTCTAACCAACTGAGCTACCCGGCCAGGACCCTCTTCCACTGCTTTCAGTTGGTCAGACCAAATCATAAGGCTGGCCTAGATTCAAGGGTAGGGAAAATCTACTCCACCTCTTGGTAGGAAGAACTGCAGATAGTCTGTGGCCATATTTATCTATCATACTAGATTATTTAGATCAACCCACTCATTCAAAAGGTCAAATACTTTTAATAGCTTAAAAGTATTGAAGAGCTGACAGGACAATAGTGAACTGCCAAGTTCATTTTAAATTGGAGAATGATTGCCTATAATCAGAGAGAGGAGCTATCGGAGCAGCAAAGATGAATAGGCTTCACACTTGGAAAGGTCCTGCATTTGGACACATTCAAAATACAGAGGGTCTCACAGGCATTTCTCCAGCATCACAGAAGGACCCAAAGGACTACACCTCCAGGATAAGGTGTGGATCCACTCTGTCACCCCCGTCCCGGGAGACTACAGGGAAGGCTGCCTTGGCTCTGAGCAGAGCTGGAGAAAAAAGAAAAAAGGCGATGATCTTGGGCTCTGCCTGGGTTTGACACACTAGTTACTTTTGTGGTCTTGGTCTGGTTGTTTAACTTGTCTGCATCATTCCCTCATTTAGAAAATAAAGATAACAGCCCTAGCCAGTGTGGCTCAGTGGATTGAGTACTGGCCTAAGAACCAAAGGGTTGCCAGTTCAAATCCCAGTTAGGGCAGGTGCCTGAGTTGTGGGCCAGGTCCCCAGTTGAGGGTGCTTAGGGAGCAACCACACATCAATGTTTCCTTCCCTTTCTCCCTCCCGTCCCCTCTCTCTAAAATACATAAATAACATCTTTAAAAAAGAAAATAAAGATAACCATCTTCACCTCTTAGAACTGTGAAGATTCAGTGAAACAATACATACAAATTGCTTAGAACAGGTGTCATGTGCAACTGCTCAATAAATGTTAATTTGACCATTATCATTTAATAGGTAGTAGTCATGTTTTTTTTTTTCTCTTTCCTTCTGGATTCTCCTGGTCCCTTTGTGCCCTGTGCCCAGGTCAAAATGCCATAGGCCCACGAGGCCAGACAAAAAATGTACAGAGGCAAGAGGGAAAGTAAACAGGGAGCCCTGACCCGTGTGGCTCAGTTGGTTGGGCATCATCCCACAAAGCAAAGAGTCCAAACAGTCGCCAGTTCAATTCCCAGTCAGGGCACATGCCTGGGTTGTGGGCCAGGTCCCCAGTAGGGGCACGTGCACACGAAAGGCAACCAATCCATGTTTCTCCCTGTTTTTTAAGAGTTTCCCCTCTTTAAAAAAAAGAAAGGAAGAAAAAACAGGAAGAGACAGAAATCTGCAGATCACATACTCTGTGTGAATGGGGATTGTCGCTATGGGGCAATGCAGGCCCCTGTTACAATATCTTCACTAGCACAATCCTATGCGTACAAAGCAGATATTTGGGAAATGAGAATATACTATAATAATTCAGAAACTCTTGGGAAGTAGGTT